ATACATCACTTATGCAGGGCCGGTGCAAGGATTTTTGCCGCCCTAGGCAAAAGTAAAGTTTGCGCCCGTGACATCACAATGCCCCACCCATATGACCTGCCATGTTAACTAACGCTAGTGCTGCAGTGCCGCTGTGTTTACATTAAAAGGCCTGCAGGGACAGGCTATAGACACCAGGACCACTACATTAAGCTGCTGTGGTTCTGGGGACTATAGTGTTTCTTTAATGTGAGGTAAATTAGAGATTAGTGCCACGAATAATATACTAGATTACCTACTTACAAGCAGATGAGGATGATGATGGGCTCTAGCTGCAGTCTGGCTCCACTGGTCTGGTGTATAACAGGATCTCTGCAGGCTGTTTGTAACTGTGGTCACAAAAATCAATGTTCTGGGAGAACGAGAAGCAGCTCCATTTTTTGGGGGCCCTTTACATAGCTCAAGGTCTGGGTCCCAGGGTCCACCTTCATGTTCCACCAATGAGTTTGTTCACAGGGGGTAGAGTGTGTAGGGGATGTCCTGATTTGTGTGTAAGGAATGCATTGTGTGAATCTGTGTTTGTATGTGTAAGGGATGTAAGGGATGAAGTGTGTGAGTCTGTAAGGGGTGCTTTGAGTGTGTTTAAGGGGTGCTTTGAGTGTGTTTAAGGGGTGCATTGAGTGTGTGTAAGGAATGCATTGTGTGTTTCTGTGTGTAAGGGATGCATTGTGTGTAAGGCTTGCATTGCGTGTGTGTGTGTGTGTGTGTGTAATGCATTGTGTGTTTTTCTGTGTGCAAGGGGTTCATTGTCTTTGTGTGTGAGGGGTGCATTGTGTGTGATTGTGTGTGTGTGTGTGTGATGGATGTCAATCTCTCCCCCCTCCCTTGTCACTCTCTTCTCCCCCCCTCCCTTGTTACTCTCATTCCCCCTCCCTCCCCTGTCACTCCCCCCTCCCTGTCAATTCCCCTCCCTGTCAATGTCTCCTCCCTCCCTGTTAGTTCCCCCCTTAGTTTCTTCCCCCCACCTCCCTGTTAGTTTCTTCCCCCTCCGTTAGTTTCTTTCCCCCACCTCCCTGTTAGTTTCTTTCCCCCACCTCCCTGTTAGTTTCTTTCTCCCCCCCCTCCCTGTTAGTT